GAGTCTTGCTCTGTTACCAGGCACCAGGCTGGAGTGCAGTGGCGCAATCTCGGCTCATTGCAACCTCCACCTCCCGGTTTCAAGCAATTCTCCTGCCTCAGCCTCCCAAGTAGCTGGGACCACTGGCACACATCACCACGCCCAGCTAATTTTTGTATTTTTTAGTAGAGATGGGGTTTCACTATGGTCTCGATCTCTTGACCTTGTAATCTGCCTGCCTCAGCCTCCCAAAGCGCTGGGATTACAGGCGTGAGTCACCATGCCCAGCCACATATATATTTTTAAAAGACCAGGCATGGTAGTGCCTGTACCTGTAGTCCCAGCTACTCAGGAGGCTGAGGCAGGAAGATCACTTGAGCTCAGGATTTGAGGTTGCAGTGAGCTGCAATCACACCACTGTACTTCGGCCTGGGTGACAGAGTGAGACCTTGTCTCTAAAAAAGTAATAAAATAAAATGGTAGGTCTAAAGGGGGCTGCCATAAAAAGGTGGTCTTCAGAAAGATCTATTGCAAAGCATTTGAACAGTGAGGCCACACCCATAGTTAGGATGTGTGTGCCCTGGCTTTGCTGCCAGTGCCTGGAGACCAGAAGAGAGGACTGGAGGAAAGGAGCTGCTGACACATCACATTAGAGGCCACCTGCAGCAATGTGACAAGGCCCGGCCTGTTCATGGATACAAACCCCTGGAAATCCAGCTCTCCTGCAGAGATGCTTTGGCTTTCTCAATGGGACACCCAGGAAAGAAAAAATACTGGGTTTGGCCCCAGAATGAACTTTTCATTTGAGAGTATGGGGTTGTAAATCAATTATGAACATTAATTCTAGAAGAAAAGACATTGAAATGTTTCCTTGGTTCTATAATAAATTGTCAGCATGAAGCTCAAAATAATTTTTATTCTGTTTAATAAGTTTTCAGCTATGTTTTCAGTTCAATAACAGTTGTGAGGGAACCAGAGCTGTAAATCAGTGGGCTGGGTTCCATCGTATGTAAATAAGAACAAACAGCAGATGGAAGGGGGTCGGGGGAGCTTCACAGCTATTTCTTTCCAACTTGGTAAAAACATTAAAAGAAGAGAAACTTCAACTTGGGATAAAACACAAACTGTTAGAAGAGCAAAGGGTCCTTTAAAAATCATTAAGTCAAGGGCCGGGTGCAGTGGCTCACGCCTGTAATCCCAGCCCTTTGGGAGGCTGAGGCGGGCAGATCATGAGGTCAAGAGATCGAGATCAGCCTGGCCAACATAGTAAAACCCCATCTCTACTAAAAATACAAAAATTAGCCAGGCATGGTGGCAGGCGCCTGTAGTCCCAGCTACTCAGGAGGCTGAAGCAGGAGAACTGCTTGAACCCGGGAGGCAGAGGCTGCAGTGAACTGAGATCACGCCACTGCACTCCACTCCAGCCTGGCAACAGAGCGAGACTCCATCTCAAAAAAAAAAAAAAAAAATCATTAAGTCAGTGGTTCTTAACCTTGTCTCCCCATTAGGATCTCTGGAGCAACTTTTAAAAATACTGACAAAATATTTCTAAATAAAATTAAAAGTCCTGAGGCTTGGGCATCAGGATGCTAGTGTCATTGTTCTAAGGTCCAGCCTGGGCATTGGGAAGGTTTAAAAAGTTCCCCAGGTCATTCTAACATGCAACCCACTGGACCAGGGAAAACCACTTATTTGACAGATAAGGAAATTAAGGGTCAAGGAGTCTGTGATCTGCTCAAGCTCATGCAGCTAACGTGGACCAGAACCAGGACCTAAGCAAAGAGCTAAAACAACAGAGAAGAGCTCAGAGCCTTTAGTGGCAATAGAGGATCACCCACAAAATCAGAGGAAAATGCCAGGGGCTGAAAGGGAGTCAACTTAAAGATGCAGAACTCACCACTTCAAACAGAAAACTCACATCAGGAGGATGTTAAAATGACAAGGAAATCTCTGGGGACTTAGATTTTTTGCCTACGAGCACGTGTAAGTGTTTTTTATTTTTGTTTCGGTTTTTGAGATGGAGTCTCACTCTGTCACCCAGGCTAGAGTGCAGTGGTGCAATCTCAGCTCACCGCTCACTGCAACCTCCACCTCCTGGGTTCAAGCAATTCTCCTGCCTCAGCCTCCCGAGTAGCTGGGATCAGTAATGCACACCACCACATCCAGCTAATTTTTGTGTATTTTTAGTAGCAATGGGATTTCACCATGTTGCCCAGGCTGATCTCAAACTTTCGAACTCAGGTGATCCACCTGCCTTGGCCTCCCAAAGTGCTGGGATTACAGGTGTGAGGCACCGCATCCGGCCCTAAGTCTTTAGGACTTCATCATGTAGCATCACACATTGGCTGGCCCATCACCTTCACAGAGAAAAAGCAATAAGGTCTTCTCAAATTAGGGAGGGGTGATGGGGAGGGAAAGAAGTGGATGGACTGAAAGGAGAGAGTTAGGGACCAAACCAATGGAAACAGGTGATTCATTTCACGTGAGAAAGTGGGGAGAGTCAGATTAATTCCTAGGCTTCAGAAAGGAATGGGCAACCACCACCATTCAATAAGACTAAGAAAGTTGGAAGAGAAAGAGGGATGGGGACAGAAACCAAACTAGTGGGATGAAGAGTGTATGGGAAGCAAAGACAGCAAGTCTGGACAAACTAATTGAATTTGTCAATGTAGGAGAAAAAGCAAAGAGAGAAGAAGATGTAGGGTTGAGAGAAGGGTCTGGGGTCTGGGTTTCATGCATATGCTTGCCAATACTACTCCTACTATTTTTGTTGCTGTTGTTGAACAGCTGAGAGAGTTGACGACATTTAAATACCAGTAGAAAGGATCCAGCGAAAAGGAAGAGACTGGAAAATATTGGACACAGAAAGCCATGAGTGGGGTCTGAGAGGGCAGAGGAGGCAATGGGATCCAGAGACTATATGGAAGGATTCACCTTAGACATGAGACAGACTCAGGAGCAGAGAGAAGGCTAAAATGATAGGCAGGCATGCAGGAGGAGCTAAAGATTAAATGTAGACGGTTGAGAGAGTCCTAGTATAAAGGTGGGTCTTTTCTCCATGAAATAGGATTGAGACCTCCTGCTAAAAGGGACATTTCTCTAAAAAATGATATTTCTTCACACATGGCTGTATGCATCCTGGCAGCATGAACATATTACTAGGAAGAGAGGTACAGTAGTACCCCCTTATTCAGGATTTTGCTTTCCACAGTTTCAGTTACCTGTGGGCAACTGTGGTCTGAAAATACTAAATGGAAAATTGCAGAAATAAATAATTCACACGTTTTCAATTGCACACTATTCTGATTAATGTGACGAAGTTTCACGCTATCCCAATCTTTCTGGCCCGGGACGTGAATCACCCCTCCACTTGTCCAGTATCTCCACCCTGTATATATACCCACTCAATAGTCACT